GCCATGCCCAAGGCCATGTATTGGCTGGGCACCGCCGTGCTGACAAACCACCTGGTGGCGAATTTGTGGCCAAGTGCGTTGGGGCGTGATTTGCCGGATGAGTTTCCCACGACTGTGTCCAACGAGTGTTTCATTGCGAGTGTCCAATTCATGCTGAAGCGGTATCTTTTTGGCCAGGCAATCCTCAGCGTCACTTCCAAAGAGCAAACTTGGTTGCACCGTCGGCACGACTTCCGCGACGCGGAGGATGATTTACTCCCATTGCTGCTCCGCATTTTGCGGGGAGCGCCTGGCTCTGTCACCACCTTGGAACACATTTTTTGTGCAGACCTGGCATTGAAACGAAGTATCGAGAAAGGCTCCTGCAACGCGGCGGATCTGGCCCGCCAACGCATCGCTGATTTGTGGTTGCAGCTGAAAGACCTTGGGCTTGGGGAGCTGTGCAGCTCCGGTGGTACTGCGCGATTCCGCAAATATCATGTCGGGTCACTGTCTCCTGGTTGTTTGGATTGGTTGCGGAAACACCGGGTGCCACTTTCCCATTTCGGAAAACGTTCACATGTTGATCATGCAGCTTTTCTAGGCACCTGCCGTGGAGGGTGCGTGGACGTTGATTCGGGTGTGTGTGGAAGCAAAGACACAGCAGTGGACTCCGGGGAGCAAGAGCTTCAACCTTTGCAAAGTGCAGTGCCTCGTGTTGCAAAACCGTCTCCACAAGTTGCGCGTGGCGGTGCAAGTGCCCACCCAAATCAACCAGCCAAACCAAGGAAGAAGAAGCAAGCCATCCAGTGGCGCGACATTTCTCGGGTGGAGCTTGGGTCTCCTTTGATGTCCAACCAGCAGCTTTTGCAGCACCTGCGCCGCAGACCTGAATGGGCTGACACCAGAGTGGCCGTGCGGACTTTGTGGCAAAACAAAGAACGCATTTTGAGTGAGGTTCGCTGCGTAGAAAGCGAACTGTGCACCCATTGCTGGCGAACCCACTACATTCTCAGCAAGAGTTTGTACAGCCCTGGAACTTTGGTCGTTCAGGCATCTGGTGAACACACCGGGCATGACGGTGCTGTACCTTGTGCGTCAGGGAAAATCTTCAACGAAAAGCAGCGCGAAATTGCTGCCCGCTTCCTCTCCGGAGGTGGCCGTGGGGCCAAGAATTTGCGCGTGGCCCTTCTAGCTGCAGGCTGTGCCGATGCATCATTGCCTGACAACACCCAGCTTGCCAATTGGTTGAGAAACAACAGCCGCAAAAACAAGGATGCCCTCGACAAAGACAAGTCTGTTGTGGCAGCGGTTGCTTTGGAAGTTAGTCAGTTGCCACGAAGCCTTCCAAAGCAAATCGATGCATTGTTTCTTCTGCGGGACCCAATCATCACGGATACGGAAGTCTGTATCCTTTTCGCTTCTCCCGGGACGCTGAACACCTTTGACCGTTACACTGGTCTAGATGTCGCCCTTTCTGTGGACACCAAGATGAAGGTGTTGACCCGCGGAATGGGCGTGGCCACAGTCAGCTTATTGGTCAAGGACCAGCTGCGCAAGACGCGCTTGCCCAAACTTGGCAAAGGCTCTCGGACTCAAAGCCGTGCTTGGACGTCGCATGGCATGCCCGTTGCGCAGGCAATTTTTCACGCCGAAACAAAGCCCAACTATTGCCGCCTTTTTCGGACCTGTTGCGACTTGTGGGCAGAACGCCAGCCGAGCCGCTTGCCTCTGCCCGAGCAGCGAAGCCTTCAAATCCACAAGGACTTTCACCCCAGCGCCGAAGAAGCTCGTCGAGAAGTCTTCCCACACTCTCGGGCATGTGATGATTTTTTCCATTTCAAAGAAAAATCTCACACGGTCATGCGGTCCAAGTGCCGTCAGGTTGTTCTTCACAAAGGAAAACATGTGAAAAAGCATTTGCACTATGCCTTGACTGTGGTGTCGCTGCTGCGGTTCATCCCGACATTGCCTCTGTTTAGCTGGCTCTGGAAAGCTTTCCTGGCTTCTTTGCGACGCATGGATGAACCGATTCTAGCCGATTGGTTGCAATCATACGAGCGGCCTTTGCCATCTATCTTTTCCGAGCAAGCCGCTGGCCCACAGGATCTTATTTATGTGAGTTTCTGGGTTGGCTTTGATGGCATTATACCCGGATCGGGCAGCGGCAGTGAGCCCGCAGAAGCTGTGCATGGCGCGTGGCAAACGGAATTGGCTTCTCTCGGTGGCCGTGGAGACATCAACCATTGCTTGTGCGTCCTACAAAGGCTCTACACACAACATTGGCAAGACTGGTACTCTTGGATGGATGCTTCGCCTTTGTCTTTTCAGCCGGCCGGACAGGACCCTCAGTTAGTCAATGGTGCGGCTTTAGCGCGAGCCGGGCGCACTACAGCAGCCAACTTCTCCAAGTTGCCACCGAACTCGTGCTATGTCCTTCAACAGTCCACAGATCATTCGTGGGTTGCCTGTGCAGCCACTGCCGCCACATCGCCGGTGAATCGTAGCTTGGCGCAGGGAATCTTGCGGTTCCTTCTTCAGCCGACGCTGCTGCATGCAAACAGTTTGCCTCAGTTGTTTGACGATTCCGGCAATCTTTCATTGCAGGCCCTTCGCTTTCACTTTGAAGATGTTGTGTATGTGCGGGCGCGGCCGACGTCCCTCCTTTGTTCTTGTGCTGCCGCAACAATGCATGCCCAGTGCGAGCATTCGACGTTCCTTCGCAGCTTGGCGCTGCCGACATTCCCTTCGGACTCATTACTGCTCAATGATGTCCCAAAAGCTCGCAAGCGTACCGGGCGTCGAACAACTGCTGCTGAGCCGCCGCGGAAACGGCGCAGACGTACAGGGTGATTTGCTTCAAAGAAAGCCGTTGGTGCAGGTCCATCACGCTGCTGAAAAGTTTGTGCCGCAACTTCGCTGACAGTGCTTTCTTTGTGTAACAGCCTTGTTCTACTTTTAGTTTCTTTAAATTTCGAGCTTCAGCTTCCTCATGTCAGGTCTTTCAATTAAGCCTTTCAAACTGCAATACTGCTTTACTGCGCAGCATCTCCTTGCGCATGACATGCCCTTTTCCTTCTTCCAACCTGGACGCCATGCAGCCGGTCATTCTCTCAGGTCTACCATCCTCGTGTCCACCTGGGCCGGCGGGCGACCGACAAGGAGGAGGAGAAGAAGTCGTAGCAGTAGTAGTAGGATAAGGAGGCTGATGATGGTCATGAGGATGATGAAAATGGTGATGTTGATGCAGATGATGCTAATGATGACGCAGATGATGAGGAGGATGAGGATGAGGATGATGATGGTGATGCTGTTGATGATGCTGATGATGGTGATGATGATGAGGCTGCGGATGATGATGAGGATGGTGATAACGAAGAAGAAAAGATGATGATGATGACGATGATGATGATGATGCTGATGATGAAGATGCTGATGATGGTGATGATGATGCGGCTGAGGATGATGATGATGACGAAGAAGATGATGATGAAGATGATGGTGATGAAGATGATGATGATGAAGAGGAAGAAGAAGATGATGATGTTGATGATGATGATGATGATGATGCTGATGATGATGCAGATGATGACCAAGATGATGAGAATGATGTTAATGATGATGATGCGGATGGGGCTTGGGATAATGATGATGGCGATCGCACGGCGCGCAGCGCCTCCCCCCGGACTGCAGACATGGAAGACCTTTGTTGTTGTTGTTGTTGCTGTTGCTGTTGCTGTTGTTGTTGGTGTTGCTACGGTGGGTACTGCGTATACGGGAGTTGCTACAATAAAAAAGCGGGAGGGATGGATCGGGGGGAGGGCGCAGCGCCTGGAGGAGGAGCAGGCGGAAGAAGAGAGGAGAAGGAGGAGGAGGAGGAAGAGGAGGAGGCGAAGAAGAGGAGGAGGAGGAGGAGCAGGAGGAGGAGGAGGAGGAGCAGGAGGAAGAGGCCAAGGAAAAGGAGGAGGACGAGGAGGAGGAGTTGGAGGAGGAGGAGGAGAAGGAGGAGGAGGAGGAGGAAAGGAGGAAGAGAAGGAGGAGCAGGACGAGGAGAAGAAGAACAAGGAGGAGGAGAAGGAGGAGCAGCAGCAGGAGCAGGAGAAGGAGGAGGAAGAGGAGGAGGCAGCCGACGCCGAAAACACCCGTTACCGACGCAAAAAACACCAACCGTCCCAGAAAACACTGTTTGCCGACGCGACAATCCCCGGGGCCGTCGCAATAAACACCGGCCAACCGACGCAGAAAACACCGTTCCAGCACCGACGCAAAAAACACCGGTACATGTGCACCGTCGCAAAAAACACCGTTTACCGACGCAATAAACCCGGAGCCCAAAGGGTGCAAGATCTGACCTGTTCGTAGAGGCTGCAGAGGTGCAAACGTCCTTGTAAAAACCATAAAAAACTGGATCCCACTAGACGGAAGCCAAGGTGGGTCCTGCCTGCATTCTGCATTCTTTCGAAGCACTAATTAGGTATCCCAAAAACAAACTGATGGCAACTTGCCGGGTGGTCGAGCGTCGAGGTGTGTCGTCTTTGAACAGTGAGAGGGCTCCACAAGTCCCTTGTCCCTTCAAGCCGGCCTAGAGCCCAGAGAGCTCCCTGGACCCCCCAAGTCCTGGCGTTTTGATTGGGGAAGGGAGCCTGATGAAGTGAACATTTGCCAGCTGAATGCCAAGCATTGGTCGCCGCTCGACTTTCACGCTGCTAATCGCCATCCTTGGAAAGGGCGATTTTGATGCATCAAGCGTGTTCCTAAACATTTTCTCTCAAGCATGGAAGCGCCTAGACAACAGGCATATAATGCAACTGGCAGAACGCGGCAGAAACCAGTGCCTCAGCAGTCCTTCGAACCAGCAGCCGCCAAGCACTAAAAACGGCTTTCTCACTTTTTTCAGGTTTTTCCCTGGTCCCCCCGCTGAGACTCTACACTGTTCGGAGGATTTTTCCAGTCGGACGCCACCATCGCCGAGATGATCGGGTGATTTTGATGTTCACTCGATGAAAATCCTCTTCTGGTGCGTTGAACTGGGTCCGGTTCTCAAATCCAAGAAATTGACCTTCCGTTTCTGATCAGTTCGCTTCTCTCCGCCGCGATTGGGCACTTCTTCGTGATGGCCAATCCTGAAGGACGGGAGACGGACTGGAAGGTCGTCAGCTGATGGTCGTCAGCTGATGATGTCCTTTTGATGCGTAAGGTCGTTCCGCTTCTGTTTTTGCTCATTTGTTTTTTTCCTGTCACTTGGTCACATGATGGTTCATCGCTTGGTGTCTTTGGGTGAGATTATGTGATGGATCGATGTTTGTGCATCGGCGCTAAGGAAAAAGTGCGTAAAGCCCTGTCATTATTCTGAAGATGGGGGCCCACATACATACTGTAAATGGGGATTGTGTCACCTCTCCATCCACTCCCAGATCATGTTTTCTCCACATTGGGTTGAAATGTCCCATGTTATGCTCCCAACCATTGATAGCCTTTTCCTATTGGTTGGTTGATTCATAGAGTGGTTCAATAACCAATAGGTAATAGGTATATGAAATTGTACTTTATGGTGCCGGGCATCCTTGTTCCCAACCCTCAGGAGAAAAGCCATCGTTCAAGCTCCATGTGCAGAGCATGAGTGGAGAGGAGGTCACCCTCGAATTGCACCAGGAGCGACGCATTCTGCGGGACCAGGGTTGGCGAGATTGTTCGCGGAAGGTGGGAAAAGACAAAGCAAGCCGTGAAGGACATGGAGGCTCCTCCGAGTGCGGTCGTAGGAGCCGCGACCCCTTCGGTTGCGGCCAGTTGGGGGGCATGTGGTTGCCATCAGGTGAGGATCTTTTCTTGTGACATACTTTTCACGCCAAGAGTTCGGATGGGAGCTCGACCGTTTTTCTGAGGATGCTACGGTGAACGACTTGCGTGAAGCCATCCGCTCGAAGATGGATGCTGGAGGGTTTCTTGCGGCAAGATGTGGGATTCTGGTGTGTTTTCTTGGGGGGGAGCCGAATCTGCTCCTTAGAGCTGCCAGGAATTCCTCCCATGTCACGAAAGTCAGGATTTCCTCCGATGTGCCTGGACTCTTCTAGTGCCAATGAGTTGGGGAAGGCCACCAAGTCCTTCGGCGTTTGCAAGAGGAGACAGATAAGACATCACGAATTAGGATGTCTTAGATTGTCTTATTGTGTATGTTATGCAGCTTGACCATGCAGGGCCTGAGAACATCCGACTGACTTCAGATGTTCTGGTTGGGCGCGGCACGCTGCTCTCCGCTGCTATCGACGGCTACCCCTCTCCTTTGTCGCAAGGTCGGGCTTCCGCTTGATCTCGGGAAGTCGATGCTTGGAGGCGCCCAGCGAGAAGCTGACGAGCCTCGAGGTGGAGGATGGTTCCACCATCATTATGATGAAGGACCTTGGGGCCAACGAAGGGCTTCGGAATGAACATCGGACCGGGACCCCAACAGGGTTTGACCACCAACGATGCACGGGAAGTCCAGGGCGCACGGGAAAACGCGCGCGCGCGCTCTAAGACAAAGCGTTGCTCATTTGGAGATCCATGACCCCATCCACTAAGACATCAGTTGGGGAGGGTACTCAGCTGGCAACTAAGTTTTCTCAACGAATGTTGTTCTTGTCCGAGAATGTGTCGAGAATTTTGATGAAATCTAAGTCGGAGAATGAAATTAATTGGCACGCTCCCAGTGGGGAGACGCATCAGAAAGTAAACAAACATGCATCAACAAATAAACATGCATCAAAATATATCAATAAAAACAGAAAAAACACATAGAAAGAAACGAGTACAGGAAGAAAGGAAGGACGGAAGGAAGGAAGGAACGAAGCAAGAAAGGAAGCAAGAAAGGAAGGAAGGAAGGAACGAAGCAAGAAAGGAAGAAAGGAAGGAACGAAGCAAGGAAAGAAGGAAGGAAGGACGGAAGGAAGGAAGGTAGGAACGAAGCAAGGAAGCAAGGAAGGAAGGAAGGCTGTGAAATTGAACTGCGATGTTGCAAAACTTTGCCCAGATGCCCAGCGCAGAGACCATTGCAGTTATCAAAGGAAGAGTCATTGGGGAAACTCCATGCTTTTTGTTTTTCGATCGCGCCAAGTTACATTGCGGGGAGGCGCTGCGCCCTCCCCAGCGCCCCCTCCCGCCGCCCGCTGTTACGGTAATTGTTGAGCGTAGAATTAGTTTCAGGTATATTATAGCTTTCTACACTCTAGACTAGCCATTCCTATTATGTGACTTAACAATATATTGGTTTTATTGTTCACTGATCTATTTTATTTGTGTCTTTTCTTTCCTTCCTTCCTTCCTTCGTTCGTTCGTTCGTTCGTTCGTGCGTTTCAATTCAATTCAATTCATTTCATTTCATTTCATGCATTCATTCATTCACGGATTTTAATTGAATTGGATTGAATTGAGCTGAATTGTCACGTCATTTCATTTCATTCGTTCATTGACTCATTCATTCGTTGATTTTCCTGTTTGTTCTTGTTTGATGTGTTTTTATTCTTTTGATCACTGCTTCGAACGTAATACTGCCCTTCCCTCTGCGCATTTGGGTCCGTATATTTTTGTTGTCTATTTATGTTTGTTTTTTCTTGATCACCGTGAATGATATCTATTTGTTGATTCATTTTGTTTTTTTGTTGATCCCTCGCCCGTTAATGGAATATTGCTCATCCCTCTGCATGTTTGGGACCGTTTACTTTTTTGTTGATTCATTTTTTCTTGATACCCTGAAATATTTTTAATTTTTGATTCATTTTGCTTTTTTGTTGGCCCCTCGCCCCTCGCAGTGTGCCTTGGATCAAGCTAGGGGACACTCCATCTATGCCATATTTGCTTGCATTGGGGTGGTTTGGGGGGTCAATGTAGGCATATGGCATACATGGAGTGTTTGGGATAGTAGATGATAGTATATATTCATATTCAAGAAACTGTAGGCCATGACTTTTGAGGGCATGGTGGACGGAAGAATTTAGTTGACGGGGGGTGAGCCTCTGGAGGAGGGGTGGGTGAATTTAAGATTTTGCCACACGATGGGGCCTTGGGACGAGGACGTGGCTCAAAATTAATCCAGTTGTTTGCGAGCACTCGGCCAATTCGGGGGTATAACGCTTTCAAAGCTAGGAAAGCCGGCAGACCGCAACGCGTGCTCTTGATGACAGCCGTTTGGTGGCCTGACGCACTGGCAGGGGAGCGCGCTAGATGCGCGCTAGACCACTTTGCATCTTTGACCACTTGGCCAACTGCTTACCAGGGCTACTACTCAGTACACTAGAGACATACACACAAACGGATTGCCTGCACGACGTTGCACTGGGGTGATGAGAGTGGGTGGAAAGACGAGAAGGGCAGCTGGGGTGGGCGGTTTTGTTTGCACGAATAAAGAGAAGAAAGAATGATAAGAACATCATCTATCAGTCCACCTATCATATCTTGACAACTGGCTTATAAGAGGACTGCTACTTTCAGTTTCACACTTGGAACATTTTGGAACCGTCTGACCTGTAAGTCAGAATGCAGCTATGAAAGGGCACGCGCAACATACAACCATATACATGAGCAGACGTCGTCTACATGACAGCCACCGCTTGGAATTGCTGTGATTTGAAGCTAGGATAATAATGATTTTGGAACGGTTTTTTTCAGCTCACATACCTTTGTGAGACCCCCGAGGGCCAAACTCAACCAAGGAAGGTGCTGGTGTTTTTCGAAAAATGACCTCGAATGTCCTCGAAGCACTATCTATCCGAATCCCCTTGCTGGCCGCGCGCACAGATTTCCAGCGTGAGCCGCCGCCGTTAGGAGCGCTCTTGCGACTACACTTGCCTGGGAGAAGCGCAGAAGGCCGTGGTGAGGCTGAGCTGAAGAGCCCAAAGGCTGCGAGTCTGGACCCAGCCAGTTCGCTAAGGTTTTGGCCCTTACAATCGGGGTCTTGGACCGAACCAACATGTAGCAGGTTGAGGGTCCACGAGCCTTTGGGAGAAACTGGTCGAACAGGTCCGCGTGAAATGGCAGTTCTTTGTCAGTGACTTAACCAGTGTGGCTACTTGGTAGAAATCCTTTGTGAGGCGTTCTTGCGTTTTCCGTTTGCAACCCCACTGACAAACTCATAGCTGGCCCAACTTTCGGTGATTGACATAGTCATCCTGAAAATGACGCCAGCCGAGCGGGCTCTTTCCGGCACCGGGATCCAGTGACACACTCTTTTTGCAGCTATTCATTGATGCCCTGAAAGCTCCTGGCTCAGCATCCTTCTGTTTATGTCAGCTTTGTGGTTGTTGACGCCTCGTTTGGAGGGCTTAGACTGGGGGCCAAACCGGCCGCCATGTCTGAGGGGCTTGACAAACAGCCTTCACCCCCCCGGCGCCTTTGCATTCCTAGGAAATGCGGTCAGTATCCCAACGGGCTGGTGTATCACGGCGACAGGCCGCCCGACTGGGTCGTACCGGATGGGTCGGAGGGCTCCGGGTCCTCGGGACTCTGTTCCTCTCCTTCACTGGATGGGTTGGGAAGAGAGGAAACTCGCGGTGGCATGTGGGAGATGAATGACATTTGCTGGAGTTCGAGCAGTGCCCTACTGTATTCTACAATCCCGTTTGGGCTCCGAACGCCCCATATCCTCAGGTTCGGTGGTATTCGACCCTCCTGGCATCCACCCCAACTATCAAACCTCAGGAGGTGGGCCAGGAGCCCTAGGCAATATTCCCCATATATAGACTCCATGTATGCCATATATGGCTACATTGGGGTGGTTTGGGGGGTCAATGTAGGCATATATGGCATACATGGAGTCTATGGGTTCTACAAGACTGGCTGATGTCTTGGTGTTTTGGCGTCCCAGGCGATCGCCATGGTACCCCCCGGCGATCGTGCGTCAGCCGCCGTTGGGTCACACCAGGGCCGTTGGGTTTCCCTCGATACGTTGCATTCAAGAATGCCTATTCCCAGACACTCCATGGGACTGGATATATTTACTCACATTGAGCCCTGAAACCACCCCAATGCAAGTCAATATGCCAGTCCCATGGAGTGTTTGGGGCATGGTGAATGTGCAGAAAGTGCCATTCTCATTGGTGGTGTGAACCTAACGCTACGAGATGAAACATCGTCCTATTTCATGCCGCAACGATGCATACTTTTGCCTTCTGCGAATGACAGGATCTTAGGCCCTTCATGAAACAGAGGCCATCAAGAATTGTCCATTCTTAGCATCCTTGTCACGAAAGGCTTCAGCTGCCATGACAGGGGGTTGCAGTTGACGAGCAATTGAGGCGGCAAGCGCCCAAATTGACCAGGAAGGCCCCAATGGAATAGATTTCTCCTGGTCCTATGTTGCTTCCAGAGTTGATCCATCCTGATTCATCCTCATTAGAACCTCAGGTGTCAGACCATTCTTCCCCCTACTTCGGCCACCGAACACGTCTCCCTTTGTGAGCAGATCTGGCTTCTCAGGCTGCTGGTTGCGACCTACTTTGGCATCCTTGAGGCTCCGGGCGTCCGGACGGAGACCGGGAGGACTCCCCGAAGCGGTCTTACTACGCCTTAGGCCGTGCATCGGAGAGCAGGTCTACAGCTCAGAGCTCAAGCTGATCCACAAGGAAAAGCTGGATGTCCAGGGTCATCCCAGCCAGATCTGCATGGCAGGCGAGACTCTGATTTGGGCACGCGAAACGTGAACTGACATGTCAGCAATTTGCTGTACAAAACACACACACACGCACATCACTCACATGTTTTTTATTTGTGAAATTGTGTGTATACAGGCAACCGGTGGAACAACTAGCCGTGATGCGTATGCTGTATGGTTGCGGACTTTTTTTGACCTAAATGGGGGGCTTCAGGCCAAGTTACATCAAGAACTATAATGCACCAGGAGTCACAAAGGGGTGGTTTTCAGGATAATGGGCACCCCTCTCCTCCAATAGGCATCCCTTTGTGACTGCTGGTGGTGACCATGTAATGTGGTTACTGCCCAATGTCAGTGTCTTTGCAGTATCTCACCTCCTTTGTATCCTGTCCTAAGGTCTGGTCCCCAGACACTTTTTCTGATACAGTTACGCACGTTGGGGTGGTTTCAGAGGTGTACGCCAATAGTCCATTTGTCGTGTTCGGTGTCTAGATCCTGACATCTTGTAGCACTCGGATTGCCCCCAACTGCCCGTCTGCCCAAAGATGGGATGCCACTCGAACCTTCGTCCTCCCGTGTCAGAACACCCGTGAGCTCGCTCCCTAGACTTCCGTTCGACCATTAAACCATGGGAACGACCTGGTGTTTGTAGTGTAAAATCCTTAGTTGATTCAAGCCTAAGGAGCTCGGCACCCGACCAGGGAGCTCCCTAGGGATCCTTGGTTGATTCAGCCTATTCAATTCAAGCCTCGGGAGCTCGGCACCCGACCAGGCGGATCCTTGGTCGTGGCCAGTCGAGACAGAGGTGGAGTGGTGATCTTCGAGCCCGTGGACGGCTTTCCTTTCGGACGCGGGTCCCGCGCCACGGTGGCATCGAAGGCACCCAACAGTGGAAGAGTTTGTGACTTCATGACGGTAAGCCAGGCTGGAGACGGGTATCAGCTGTGATCTGTTGAGGAGGTAAGCCTGTGAAGTGAAATGGTGGAGATATCTTCTTGGCTTTTAAACGGTTTCTGCAGCATTAATACATGTGCAGTTACAATTGCATTTGCTCTTTATATAATTGTTGAGCCTTTAACATATAAAAAACCAAGAAGATTGAACAAGACAAATAGAGTATTGGCATGTATTTCATTAAATGAATAATAACAATTATGTTATTATTATATATGTATACATATTACTATTACAGCAACATTATTGCCAATAAGAATAACAATACAATTGCATCATCGATTCTTATAGAAAGAAAAACATAACATTGATGATATTCTAGTTATTCTGGTAGGTTTTTTGCTTTATTTTTTTGCATAGCAAACCTCCCATAAAATTAAAGACACATGATTGGACATGCATGATTGGACATGCAACACCGGTTCACTGTCCGGGATCCCCGTCTTTCCCAACGTGCAACGGGTGGGCTGTAGCATGCCGTAGCCACTTGAGATCACTTAGAGGGGAATTGGATTCTTGAACCCATTCCCCTTTGGGCTGGCCGCCCCCCCTCAGGTGATCGGTGGGCCAGAGGGGTTCCGGGTGCCAGGGGGGCTTTGGGGAGGGGTTCTGCAGGAATGGGCTGGAACACGGCGGAGCACGTGCATTCAAAAGACATTACTGTTACAATGAAGCAGGAGAACTGCAGGGCGCAAGCTCGCTTGAAATGTTCTTGTTCTTTTGAGCTACGACCAAAAAATACTCCCGGCTGGTTGCTTCAGTGGGGATTGCAAAGGCAGAACATGATGATATATGATGACATATGATGACCTATATTATATAACCCAAGAGAACTTACAATCCCATGGCCAGTTCGCTCCCATTTCGCTCCACCGATTCTGCAGCAGTTTTCGTGACGAACCCGACTTGAACCCATGTGCGGCATGCGACCTCGACTCGATCGTCGTCCGGGGTGGAAATTCATTCGAAAGGCCACGTCCATTCATCGAATGATTGGACTTGAAAGACCCACTTCGCTTATTCCAACATACCAGCCTTGTTCCATGTTGCTTTCACCTACGCCATTTCGCGTCCGTTCGGCTCGTCCGGAGCTTCGTGTTCAGCTCTTTGGCAGCCAGACCCGGGTCTATCCACGTCCGATCCGCCACTCACAGGATTCTATGTAACCCGTCGGGTGTGGCGGTCAGTGGAGACCGCGCGCCTTGGTGGAGACAGGAGACTCGACCGCGCGCGGGCCGACCGCGAGGCGGACCGCGTGCGTTGCTGGTTGGAGGCCGGGATGCACCTGTTGTTTGGTTCAATGTTGTGTTTCCAAGCCGGTCAAAGGCGATGATCCGATGATCGCTATTCTTGAAAAAGGTCTTCAATACAAACCATCAACATCCACAGAAACCTGGTAAGATAGACCCAATCAATGTCCTTCTGAATGCATTTGGGCTCAGAAGGACCCTTGGGGGCTCAGATGGACCAACTCTGCATCTATAGGACCCACTTGAGACGTTGTATGTCCAGTCCCAGTCCAACCCCCGAAGTCCCACTCCTGAGATTCTGAGGAGGTTGGCTGCCGCACCGAGTTTTGCGACACACACCCGGGGTCCGAGACCCACATGGACCCTGAAAACCACTGGGGTTGGTACACCCTCTTCCCAGGGGGGACGACGTCAGGGTCTCTGTACCCGGACCTCGGCCCAGAACGCCCTGGAGGGCTGGCCCTAGTGATCGGACCCACGAGCGAACAGAGATCACATGAGACACCCACGAAGGGACCTGATGTCTGGGAGTCTGGGGTGGCAGCCATCAACCGAAGTCTACTGGAGTCGGATCAAGCGGTGGTCGCCACACAGGTTCCCATGGCCACGTCAGACATATCTCCAGCAGGTTCCCAGCTTGTTGAAGCCATCTGGGCTGACCAGACGATTGGAGCCTCCGAAGGTCTTTGTCTCCGAGTATGGCTACCTGAGCACTTTCCGCCTCAGCCGCCCGGACGAAGCGCTGGCTTCTCAGTTGCCATGTGTGTATCCACCGTACCTGTATTTGTGGTGGCCCACCATTGATTTACACCCAGGAAGATTAACATGGAACCTGAACATTGACCTTTGGATGATTATGCTCCTCTACAACCCAATGGTTTTCAGCTTCCATGGTAACCTTCCCGGGTGTAATGGTTGGAATCGGCGGGTGCTGTAGCAGGACTTTGACACTCGGACCAGCATTCAGGTGAACCATTTTTCTGTTGACTCCTTCTCCACCAACGGAGGAGTTCCTGGACCAGCTCTCGTGACGTCCGTGTCCGTGTCCGTGGGTCGACCCAGACCGGACCTCGATGGACGGCTGTGGCGTCACGAAGAGCCCTGTGGGGTCCAGGTCCAGAGGTCCATCGCTGCAGTTCCCAAACACGACCTGCCTGAAAAATGCCATGTCTACCATCATGGACCTCCCTGGCACCACCCCTGGCCGGAACTCTCGGCAGTCCTATGGCAGTCACATGGAGTCGGGGTTGGTGAACGCCGCAGCTTCTTATCTCTGCAGGTGATGGAGAGCTGCTGGACCGGCGCAAGGGCGGTGCCTTTGGTAGATTTACGGACCTAGTAGGGAATGTTGAGCTAGTTCAGTGTGCCAAGAGAATCATCCGTTTCCCATGGGATGTTGATTGTTTACAGTAGTTTTCCATAAGATTTGGATAGATTTGGATGACTTGCGTCGATCTTGGGTGTAGCTGACCGTGCCTGGTACCGTGCAGGGGCACCCAAGGGACTCGAAGATTGGAAAATGTATCGAACGATGGAGTCCTGATCCAGAAGGGCCACGCTCACTATACAGATTCGAGCGCGAAGAGACACAGTAGCGACCATAGCAACGTAGCTCCCAGGTTCGGAATGCCAAGAAAGTACAGCTTCTAGCAGCTAGCAACTGGCTCCAGGATGTTCTCATATTCTATCTACTCCAGGATGACTATACATGTATTTTTGTTTCTCCAGGGGTAGGGCGGAGATGCATGCTTGAAGTCTCAACGATTGGTGACGGTCATCAGGGTATGTAGGGGCTGAGACAATTTGACATGTGTTGCACAAGAAGGCCGGACGGTCATTGCCTGAGCTTCACCGTCCACTTGACCCAGATTTGAAAATCAACAAGCCCTAAGAATCCTTGCGCTCTCCATGGCAGGGGTCGGACCCGACACCTTCGCAGGGGTCCGGGCCCTCAAAACCCTCTGTTTGAGGGCTCGGATTCTTAGGGCGACTCATATTATAGTGCGCTTTGGACCATCTGTAGTCCAATCTATCCATTCAAGCTCAATCTGTCCAACAATCCGGTCGGCTCCCACGCGGCACACGTGGATGGACAGCATGTTTTTTTCGTCGCAGGTGTCCACTGGCAGGTTTCCAACCCCTATGGCCTTTGCATCATCGAAGAGAAGTTGCTGGCAGTGGCCGATCGGGGGGGCCGAGCCTTAGCACGAGCACCTTAGAACCGAAGACAGTGGCAGACGAGTGGACTAAAATGCAACAAACCCCTACCAGCACCCTCCAACAGGTCACCACCTGCGACTTTTAAGTCTCCAAAAGCCACCAGAGGAGACCTGTTGGAAGGTGCTGGTACAGGTCAGTTAGACCTCATTGTACTGGACTTGGTCATGCACAAAAACAGGACTCAAGGAGGTCGTTCAGACCAGGTTCGGACCCCGGCCAGACTGGTCCGACTGAACCGATCAGACTAGACAACGTCCGCTTCACATCGCTTCACGACTGCTGAGCGTTGGCATCTGCGCTACTTGCGCCGGCCAGCCATGGGGGACGGGCATTCCTTTCAGATCCTTTTTGTGGATGCGACTTTTTAAATGGAGTGTGTATTGAAGAATAGACACCCAAATAAGGGGGGGTAGGTCAACCAAAGGGTTTTGGGCTCCTTCTTCCGGATCCTTTTTTACGGTCTCCATCGTTTTTGGATGATGCCCGGGGCACGGCACGGCTTTCGTGACGCAGGACGCGGGTTCTCAGGTTATTGTGGGTTAGCCATTCTGAACCCTTGGGCAGGGTAGGCCTGTTACAGGCCTACTACACTTAACAAGTAGGTTAGCATGTTAATTAGATAGCAATCACATGCAATCACTATAGCAATCATATGGATTGGATCATTTGGGAATCCGAAGATCGAAAAAGAACAGGTGGCTTCCATGACAGAGCAAGTCTGTCGACATTCGACGACCGCCCTTCTCGAGGACCGTGTGCTGCTCTTAAGCCTTGATGAGATGGAGCTGCTCAGGGAGCTTCCAATGGAGGTGAAGTGAGTGAAAGAGAGAAGGAACAGAACCTCCAGTCTTCCAAGACCATCCAAATAAAGGTTGGCCCGGTTTCTTCGTGTAAGTTACACGTCAAGTCCATGTAAAAGCAATGGTTGTTCGGTGAAAGCCGTGATACATCAGTGGTTTTTCCACCCTAGGGTGGCTGGAAGAATGGACTGGACGTGGGATGGTGAGGAGACGTATTCGTTTTCAATCGTCTCGCAGCCATCCCAGGCCTCCATGGGACTGGAACATATGCCGCCCCAGCAAAACCCCCCTGGCGCCACCCCCCTGGCCCTAGGTCCAGATGGCCCTTCCATTCGCCTCCCAGACACCTGTTCGGGACTGCCAGGACGGACTGCCGACCCATTGATCTCCCCTGGCAGCAGTCCTATGGGAGTCTCATGGAGTGTTTGGGTTTGAAGGGCATGTCGTTTTCGGGCAAGCATCTCTCACCATATCTCACTGTGGATGTACTTTAATTGGTCGATCCAGTATATACATGCATATTACATATTCCAATATATGAATATGTTATATGCATCAAAGTAATATAACTATAACCTATAGTACTGTGGATGGGGCGCAGCTACTTCCTTGGCCACTCCACTTTTTGCCGGCCACCCCCAGCAGAGCCGAGTACCACGGCGCCCGCCACGCTGCCCTCCCAGGGCAGCGCAAGCGGTGTGACGAAGCTTGGGATGCCCAACGATGTGGTGGCGGACGCTGCAGGCGCCGTTTTTCACCGCGCAGGCTTGGGCAGGTCTGGCGGCGAGAAGGCAGGTAACACTGCAGTTGAGATCGCTCATGTCAGCTCTCAACATGGGCATAGTTGAAATGGATCCGCCTTCTGAGAAGGGGTGCCAGGAGGGTCGAGTCGTACCTTCTGAGAAGGTGGTTGGATACCGAAGGGATAGATAGTTGAAATCTGGTTTCAACAAATTGGAGCCATGGGGTCTTCAGGCCGATTTTTCCGATCGATATGCTTCTTCGCCTGGGCTTCCAGAGGGCCGATTTTCGCCAGGCAACCTGCTGGTGATGGACACCCGCAACGAACGCGTGGCGGTCTTCCGTCAGGCCGAGTGCGAGAGTGACGGGAGATACACTCCGAGTCACCAGCATTCAAAGTGGATGGCACCACCCGAAGTGGATGGCACCACCCGCTTGGTATGACGATGTATGAGGACGCATGGTCATCCAATGGGCCATGGCCATCGGCTCCCGGTAGTGCACCACGTGTTTATTTTTTCTGTCCCCGAACATCATCACACATGCCGAACATAAACATGTGTTTTATAACATGCATGCATGTGTAAGTAATTGGCTATCAATGCCAACTGTCAATTTCGTGTGCAGGCAGTACCCAACCTAGCAAGATAGAATGGGAAGTGTTTTGAGTCAAAGCATGGGTTGCAGCTGCGGACCCGGACCTGCTTCAATTCCCTACTATCTGGGGCTAGTGAACAAGAAGAATGGCTCTGAAATATGCCGCCTTTTACTGTTTTCAGGATGGCACCTTCATTGCCAGCATCATGGAGGGTTTCTTCAAGGCTCACTGGCGATCATGTGTGCGTGTGCGAAGCAAACTGAGCTGTTGTGGTTCTAATTTGGGTCTGTCAGTTACTAATACTAACCAGCATCATCCACTGTTACTGGTCATGGGGTAGACCCAAGTTCGAATAATGGCTGTCCACACCATTCGACGGATGTTGCGAGGGAGTCGTACTATATGTTTGTACTACAAACCGATGGCGGAAGTCACGGGGCCTGATTGGTGGGAGGGCGAATGCTGCTGAGTCAGGCGGGATCCACCACAGTGCAGAATGGGCTGTATCACGCTTCTATTCACCACCATCATGAGGAGGAGGATGGTGATCATTATCACCATCACCATCACCATCACCATCATCACCATCATCACCATCATCATCATCATCATCATCATCATCATCATCATCATCATCATCTAGTCAGGAGTGGTACTACTTGATGTTGGTTTCACGTCCCTTTGAGGCAATTCTCGCTTCACCGCCTCACGCCGACCGACGCGGAGAACTCCGACCGAGCGCAGGACAAGGGGAACACCTTCTCGTACCTGGCGTGCAACGTCGAAACCGGAGCCCCTTGGAGTCGAGGGTGGCCGGACTGAGAGTTTACGATGGACCGACTCAGGGTGGGGTGGCTGAGGGTGGCTGGATCCAAAGCCCAGACGCTGCTCATGGGACTGCCATAGATGCCGACATTGACCCCCCTGGCGCCACCACGATCGGCATATATTCCTGCAGTCTCTCCTCTTAGGGGCCGAAAGTTTCCCCATTTTCACAACTCTAAGCACCAGTCAGTTGAGTTGAGCCCAAGTTCGAGTTGAATTGAGCTGCTTTTGGACTCTCCAAAGGAGCTCCCTCACGTCTCACATGGAAGTGGACCATCCCATTTGTAGAGCAATTTGGGGTCTTCCAGGGGCTTATTACGCAAGCGAAGACCACACTGACACTGATGGGTGCTGACGGAAGGAAGGAATGGCGCATTTTCCATTGCAGTTGGGGAAGTCTCACACCAGAGGGAGAGAGAGAGAGAGAGAGAGGGAGAGAGAGAGGAAGGGTTCGCACCATGCCCAGGTGGTCGCATTGTCCAACAATGACATGCACGAGCACCTCATCAGCACCAAATGCTTACCGCTCCGCCGGCTCTGTCAGGGCGAAAAGCGCGGATCAAGTATCCACAGAACCAAGTCTCCCACCCATTTTCCACCATGTGAAAGGCCCTGATTCCGTACGATGCCGAACACCAAACGGGTCGGTGAGATCCCGGATTCCACTGGAGCAGGTCCAGCTCCGGTAGTTGGTCCCTCTCCAGGCATGTCTTCCTCACAGCATCATACAAAAGTTATATGAAAACCCTCCTTGCAACAATCATGGAAGTGGACAACCCCCTCTTGGTAGAGGAAAGTTATCTTCCTTTCGGGGCCACGCCATCCACTTCCATGATTGTTTCAGGGAGTGTATGGGTAAGACATCATTATAAACTCATCAATCTTCCAGTCCTGTGGGTCACTGGAGGCTGGCGCTGCTGAGCACTGATCCGGCACGATTGGTCGTGGCCGAGTGAGGGGCGGAGTGATGCAGTCGTTGCTTTGAATGGATGTGGTGATACGAGTCACCAAGGCTGTTCTGCAAGAGCCTTCCGACTAGGTGGGGAAGACAGCAGGTTCACCACTTTTTCCAATTGCAAGAGATTTACTGGGGGAAATGGTGCGGCAGGAGGTGGGCAATGTAATCTAAAGCCATTTAAGCGAGACTTGTTGAAGTTTTGTACTGCTGCCTGAGACTACTCGGACCTGTGCCCTGGCTGCTGTGCAGTGGCTGCTGGGCTTGGCTGAGCAGTTTCCGCGCGAGAACTTGGAAGAACTCAAAAACTTCTTATGGCCAAGCAGTGGAGGGAGCGTCAGATGATGATCTCCCAAAACGAGGGAGGCCAAGTTTCTTCTGAGCTCTGTGCCGTCGAGACTTCCACTGATCAGTCCACTGATCAGTGCCTGCAGTGCCGCGTGCAGCTGCACTGGTATTGTACAGCTGCAGGAGAGCCAAAAGACGACCTCAAGCGTGACCTATTCTGAAGTAGGTCCAACTGCTGTAGTGGCCAGCCATGGTTTTTTGCGATGGATTTTAGACGACAACATTAGGTCAACCATTCTTTTTATGGTCTTGGTTCCGGCGAATGGGCAACCGTGCATGTCTGCAAAGTTTGGGCGAGGTTTTCTCAATGAGACCATGCAGTCGTCACAAAAGAATCTTCAGGACACCACCAGTTGTGTTATGTTTTGCTTTGTCTGAGGATCTATCTCCAGGATGACTTTATCACGGACTTTTCCAGTTGTGCGGGGCAGTATATATACATATTATATGTTAATGTACATATGTACATACAGTTTGCTTCCATAACTCATGAAAGAGGTGAGTCAGCAAGCAACTGCATGCAAGGACGCAGTAGAGCTCAGATTGAAACTTCCTTCATGCTTTTCCACCCGCGACCCAGGTCCTCATTGCCGCCTCTTCGCAGGCCATTGGCGCGAGTCCGGTTACTGTTCGGGCGGCGGCACCAAATGCGGAATTCGCGAAAAAACGAGAGGAATTTGGGGTCTGTACTCGCAGTACTTCGGGCATGTGAGTGGTATTGGGGAGTCAAGAGGCTTTCCTTCGGATTCTCCAGCATCTCAAAGTGTGGGCCAAACGGAGGGGTATTCAATTTTGGATGTTTTTCGATCGTATTTTTTGGTAGTGAATCTATTTTCTATTGTTTGTTCTGTGCTTGTCTTGCCTTTCCTTGCTTATCACTGCTTCTCTGCTTTCCTGTTTTTTTTTCCTGTGCTTTTCCTTGCTTCTTTGTGAATCCTGTTTCTTTCCTTTGCTGCTTTTTGTGCATGTTTTTTTTGCTTGGTTGTTTTTTCCTTCTGTTTCTGCTGGCCCAGACGCTCCAAACAGCTCTTGGTACCTCAAAACCCTAGGGATTTGAGACGCCAGACCCCTCCATATGAGGGTCCGACCCCTCCATATGAGGGCCCATGAGCGTCTGGGGGTTGGTGTTTTTTTCTTCTTCTCGTCTTTTTGTAGCGAGTGAGTCTCTTTCGTAATGTCTACACTTAGTCACTAAGTCACTCCGATCACTATACATCTGTTGCCCCAGCTTACAAAACCCTTTGCCCGCTTTTTTTCTTGAGATTCGCAGAGTGCTGCGCCTGCCACCAGCGGAGAAAGATAGTTCAACAACAACTTAGACTTAGATAGCTGTTGCACATCAGACCACCGCAACCCCCACAACGGCGCATGCTAAGGGCCGCCATCGAGGTTTACAAAGCGCTGCGAAGGTAAAGTTTAAAGAAGGAAAGGGACCATTCCGACATAGTCCGTACATCTTCTGTGAGCCACCCGAGGTTGGATGCTAAGGTCTACCAGGCTTTCGTCATCTGACATTAGACCTATAGATTATGTTGAGATAAGCGCTCCGTGCTTCCCAAAGTGCACTCCGAGGTTCACATAACACTGCTCAGCAGGACATCTTGCATTTCCAGCCTATACCAGCACCAACAAAAACAAGAAACACAACGAAAAACATACAACACAACGGAATCCGAGACCCCGGGAGCCCAAATCTTCGCGCCTTTCAGGTGAAGATGACCGTGATGGAGGCCAACACGAGTGCGGCGCTGGTCTTCCAGGCCGTCCGGAGCTCCCAGAGCCGAAACCCAGCCTGTCGTCGGTCGCAAAGGAATGCATGATGGGTGGAATCCGGTGCACAGGGACTCGGAACTACTTCCGGGGGCATTGTAACGAATGGATTGTTAATTACTAATTATATAGTTCAGTGAACATCCACCAGTTTAGAACATTCAAACGCAACTTTCCGATTTGATTGTTTGGTCCGGCTGCTCTAACTCGCTTGTTGCGACCGGTTGCGACTCTCCTCTCGATCACGTTGTTGAGGCAGGCGCCTTCAGATCAGCTAGGCTGCAGTGTCCAGCTGCAACATCCATCCTTGGGGTCTAAAGGCCAGTGAGCAACCCTCCCCCTTTCCCTGACAGGCCGACCAAGCCCGAAGATGAGGTTCCCAGGCGCTCCGTTCGCGGCCCGACCGGTCCGGTCCCTCCAAACCTACACCTACCAGGACCGAAACCAAGTTCGGTCACCACCTGCGACTGAGACTAGGTCTACAAGGTCCATCGGAGACCTGTTGAGTCGGGTGCTGGGTAGGTCCGAAGGAGCTTCTGGAGCCGAAAGAACGTCTGCCACGGGGCGTCGTCCACCGAGCTCATCCGAATGATCCAGCGGGATGAAAAAACCCTCTACCGATGAGGGAGGTGATAGGGACCCAGCCGTGCCGAACCTCAGGTTCGGTATGACTGGACCCTCCTGGCACCTACATGATCTCCAATCACCGTACCTGAGAAGGCACCGGTCCTGGATCCCTATAGGGAGTGTGATCGATCGCACCGTTTGAGGTCCAGCTCGCCCAGCAAGCAGCTCCAGCCCTCCGGACGGCAGGCGGTGCTGGGTGGTGGTGGCTGATCTAGCGGTGGCAGGTGCGTCGAACGTCGGCATGACAGATATACCGATCAGGTGAGGTGGTTGCAAAGGGGGTCAATGGCTGTGGGTCATGGCACCACCCTGAGGCAGGCACGAACTCCCCCTGCCGGTCGTTCGCGGCAAATGGTGGACGACTGTCGGGCTCCACGACTCACCCTCACCCCGGCCCTCAACGACTTGCGGAGTGGAAAGAATCGGACCGGAATGGTCGTGGCATGGTCATGTCCATTCCAAATATACCAAATATACCGGAGCCCTGATGTGGGGTGTTGGCACATTGGTGCTATCCTGTTGGGTGAGAAAAGCCATGGAACACAACTGCACCTTGGGCGGAAACACCTCACAGAATTCCGAGTCCAAGATGGAATCCTACAGTCATATAGTGTTTGCCCAAAGGCAACCAGGGTTTAGGATCGAACCAACATGCAGCAGTTGGTTCGGGTATATGCGCCTTTGTGTCTCACTTTTCAGCACTTGCTTCCTCAGCTCTAGGACCAGGCTTAAGCCAGCCACCGCCCTACAACTAGAGACGGCAAACAAGTTCTTGATTGGTCACGGTCGGTGGGCCCACCGTGTGAAGAGTTCGATCCAGCCCTTGCTTGCTTCTGGCTCCAAGGAATTCGAGGGGTCAAGAGGGCCAAAGGCTGCCAGCAAGGGGCCGGCCTGAAGCCGAACTTCGAAGCTCCCAAAGGGAGCTGGAAGAAGCTTTGCCCCGAAAAAGCTTTCCGCAACTAGGTTAAAAAAACAACACCGCCAGGATGTCCCCTATGGATTCGCTGCAGTAGTTATTGTCCACATAGTAGATCGGCTTGTGTTCATCATCATATATCATTGGAGTGACTTCTGGGATCTTCTTGGCACAAGTTGTTGGCCCTATGCAGAATGCAGATCCCAGAATTCATCGGGCTTTCAGTGTTTTTTTCTCAGCAACATTGACTGGGTGAAGCTACCCAGACTTCTTCTCGCGGAGTCAAGTCCGAGAATGAATTTGGATCGAACATGGTCCAGTTGCATGCTACGAGAGGTCCCAAGTGAACACAAGCTTCCCTCGGAGCCCACGGCGCCTCGGTGCGGGGCCGGCGCTGCGGAGGGGCTTGGCCAGGGAGGTCTACTTCCGGTGAGGGTGGTGTTCAGGAACCCTGGAAAAGAAACGGCATCAAGAAGCTGAACCACTCACTCAGAAGATGCGTTTTCATGAAAGCTGACTCCAAGTAGGACGCCCACAAAAGAAGTCTACTCTTAGGTTTCCACCAAAGGAAGCTGCGCGGGGCTGTTGGTTTCCCCCTCTTGTGGGCTTTCTTTCGGGCTTCTGCCGAGCGCTTTGGTGCGTTTCGTCGCCCTGCAGGGGAGTCACGGACCGACGAGTCACGGACCTGGCCCAAGAGATGTCTCGTTCCGAGGATGATCCATCTTCCGCTCAGGACTGGGTCGGTCCAGGGCCAGAGAGGGTCACCTGTGCAAGCCAACGCTCAGAATGCAGGGTTCCCAGTCAGTTGCAGGCCAGAAGTTGTGTTGGAAGATCACCTCAAGAACCAGGCTGCAGAGGAGTTCTTTTCAGGCATCTCATCTCTTTTGGTGTGGGCTTTGTGATGTGCGAGTGGGCCCCTCTTGGTTTTGAGCAAGTAACTAGTACTTCTTGGCCTCATTGATTGGACTCCTGCCGGGTCAGGAGGGGGTCCCATCACGTCAGCGCCTCCCCAACCCCGCCCAACGCCATTCCGCGGGGCTCGCAGTCGCGCGGAAGGTCCGTCCGCGATGGTGAGGAGATTCTTCGACATCTGGCACCGAAGTGGCTGGCGGAGAATCACTCTGCTCAGAAGCTCGCAGCTGAGATGATTGCAACTAAGCTGAAGCTGGCACCATCCGCCCGAGGTTTTTTTTCAGCCTGATCGACGGATATCTGGATCTGGAGACCTCAGGCCGCGTCTCATTGGAGCCAGAGGCTTCCCGATCCCCATGGTGTTGGAAGTATGCCTGTCTCACCTGGAGTCCCAACCGGTGGATTGCTATATCTGTGTGACCCAGAGGGCTGACGGTGTTTTGGGAATAGAGAGCTACTAGACCTAGCCCCCAGGTCGTGTGCCAGCAAAAGAGAATCTCTTTGGTGGTTGCAAATCCACCCCCA